TAATATTAAGTTTCACGACTTAGACATTTAAACTATAAATATTTACATACTTTTGAAAATGAATTTAAAAGAGCCGTGTGAACCCATTACCGTTTGTTATGCTCTTGTATTTACGACGGTAAAACTCTTGTTGTGAGGTTGTCGACGTTTGGTGAACGACGAGCAAATTGAGAGAGACACATGCACAATTCAAAAACTATTACCAATTCATTTCTGCTTGCCGCCCTAAATATTTGACGTCGTAGATACTTGAGCTATCGACTTATTTAGGACGATGTCCTAGTCCCAGTCCTTTGCTTAGCACTGACGTTCTAGCTGGCGTCGACGTCGTAGATCTTAAGCTATCTATTCTGCAATCTGATTAGTTCTCTACTAGTAGGATATTAGCCTGCTTGTGGGGAAAAACAAAATGGCTACTCAAACTGAATTTCCGACATTTTGCGAACGAGAAAACGGCAAGTTGTTCGCTTTTATAGCATTTACAGGATTAAAAACACAACGAAAAAACTCCCACAAATTGTTTACAGGTTAGCAAATGAATTTTTAAAATTTAAAATGGTTAAAAATATATATTTTTGAACAATAATCGGCCGAAGGAGCGAAGATAAAAACATAAACAAAATAGAAAAATTTTAAAAAATCCGAAAAGCAAAGTCTGTGAATTCAGACCTTGTGTATATAATATTCCACTCACTCTCGTCGAATATGTCTCGAGTTCGTAGAATAACTGTTAAATATACATCTCCACTAATTATTTGGGGTTTTCTATTATGATTTATGTTCATTTTCAAAGAACTTACAAGTTGCCACAAATTGCGGGAATTAAATACAATGCAATAGTAACTCCAATAGCAATAATAATCTCATCGCAATAGTAATCTCCATCGCAATAGTATAATCTCATTGCCAATAAATGTTTACCATTTTCGGAGTTACTATTGTATTGTATTTAAGTTGCCACATGCATACAGATATTTCAATTAAGGTTGTCCCCGAGCAAAGCGGAAAAGTCGAATACGAGCGCGAAAGGCTTGCTGGGAATCGCTAAAAATTCATTAATTTGTTAGCGATTCCCAGCAAGTCTTTCGCGCTCGTATTCCACTTTTCCGCTTTGCTCGGGGACAACCTTAAAATTAAAATAGCTGTATATACTGATTTCTAAATACTGCGTATAACCACACTATCTTGATTTATCAAATTCAGAGTCCTTTACCTCTTAACTATCAGTGTAAAAAATTTAGAGTAATTAAAAATAATAAGAACACAATTTAAAACCCTGTTAGAACTGAATTCGCCATATTTCCTATACCAAGTACCTATACAATACTAATCTCGATCACCAGCCGTGGCCTCAAGAGACTTCCCTAATGTCGGCTGGTAATCGAGCCCACTGCTATTATACATGAACTATTTCAGGTTTTCGGTTCTTTTATGCGGGTTTTTACTGTGATTTCTTCAGACAAACTAATTTTTCGGGCCGATACTTTCCCTTGGCCAAGCAACAAAACTGTTCTTTTCAACAAGCCCAGAACTGGTAGGATAATTACTTTGGGACTTGACTCCAGGAACGATATCCAAAACCATTAGCGGTATCCAACCTTCTTTCAACTCATAGCCATGAACAATAGTTTGATCCGTAACTTGTCCATCGCCAACTTTTTCACCACTGGCGTTAAAAATACTGACGTTGTCACCTAAAATATTTCTTGTATAGAGTACTCCCAATTTTTATATTGTGCAAATATTATTATTAATTCATTTGCTTGTATGTTTATGACTTAAAACCTTTCTGGTGAATACATGAATGATGCTGTTATTGCTGCATGCAATGCACTTACTCCGCAATAAAGTGTAGTACATTCAATTTTTGTATCTAATGCAAGACGAATTAACTACTGACACTAATTAAATATAGAATAATCCACTCTTGAGGTAACTACGTTATAAATTAATTTTGGCCTAGTTGTCATGCATGTTGCAGTCAACTTCAATAATTACGTCTGGATTCATGGAAACCGTGAACAATAACGTTCCTGCCATATGTTTATTTAACTGTAAAACAATAAGGCTAATGTATACGTACCGACTCGTGCGGGTTGATCTTGTGGTTGTTGCACATTTGACAGTTGTAGGCGATCATTTTCATCTATATACGCAAGAAAGTTATAAAAATATTCAAGCTCAACTAAAACAAATCGTTAAAAATTGAAGTGTTATATAGACTTGAAGGAATAGCTATACAGATATAAGTAAGATAGTAAAATCTTCTTAATTAAACACAATATACAAATGGAGAGATCATATATATAGATAATATTGAAGTACATGTACCTGTAGTCTTTCGTGGTTTCGATACTGTTTCAGATCCCCTCAATCTCGTCTTATCCGTTTGTCCCCCCGAACTTTTCTTCGCCACTTTCGTCCCGCATGCTTTCTCCATCTGAGAACGGGCTAAAAAATATCGTGATATTCTTCACCTTATTAAACTTATTAACTTCACATTAACATTCTTTATTATAAAGACCACACCACAGAGTACTTATATACAGAGATCTCACTTTGTCACCGACTGTGGGAAAACCACAAGGTAGTTTTAACCAAAATACAGTAGCTTGCGCCTACAGAGAGGCATTCACCCCCCTGGAACATTAAATTTCAATATGTTTTCAGGGGTGACTAGGGCACTTGCTAGGAACATGGCGGACTGAAAAATTCCCTTACGCTAAATAAACCTGTAGTGAGAACTCTGTGTGTACTTACTCTGTGACCAGATACTGGTAAAGCCAGAATATATGAGCATGGAGCAAGCTGAAAAATCCTCATAGAAAGATGTACTAATTTACTTGCCTTGTAAAATCTTAATCATACGTTCGTTATAATTAAATCAAATATTATATTTTCTTATTTGCTTTGGTATGTATTTGTACATGTACTGTACCTAGCTTGTTAACTATAGCCGACACAACATAATTTGTGAACACCTCATCCTCTCCCAAGTCTTTTAGTGCAGGAGAGTAAAGGCGCTCCGGTAGTCGTCCACTGTATCCCAGCCATAGGGAAGGACAGCCTAATTGATCCAGTTGTTTCATCTAAATATAAATTATATTTAATTAAAGTCATTAGTCAAAAAGTTTCACAAGAAACAATGCTTTGAAATCGAGGCGGACAATGTAATCCATTGCAATTCAGTACTTTCCATTGCCAGTCTAGCCGTATACGTATAGAATTGTCATTCTGGTGTATGAAAATAATTAACATATTTTGTAAACTTACATTCATTTCAATATTCTTAACAATTTTACGGACCATCTTTTTTTTGGAATTCCAGTGGATTCCGGCAAAGTAGCATTAATCGCTTCAGCAGAATTTGCATACTTCTCCTTGCTATTTGGGGACAATTGCCGATATTCTGCGCTGCCTTGTTTCTGAATCTCACTTTCCGCTACCCCTTCTTCTCGTAGTTTTTTGGCTAAAATACACGATATAATAATTATAATAATTATATAATAAAATACACGATAGTATGTTTATAAAAATTTGTGATACTTATACGGTGTAATTATTATTGACTTGCGTGTGTATAACACGAACGCACATTGCTAAAAGTCCTGCACTACAGTCCATACACTATCTACATAAAAGAATCTGCATGTCATTCACTATTTTTCCACAACAACAGATTATGTTTTGCGACAATTAATTTAACAACAGTATAAGGTGGCATGTTTTCGGATATGTTATGACTTATGTTAAATTAGGGACCTATTCGTGCTTGAAATTGTCCATTTCAGCTAAATTTCAAAATAAAGTTAAACGTTCAACTTTTCATTTGCAGAACGTAAAAAAATGAGCCCAATAACGTTCGGCACATGATAAGCCTATTTGTCATACTGAGTTAGTGTTTTTCATTATTTTAGGCGCTTCATTGCCTCAACTTCATACTGCAGTTCTTAATCCAATGTGTTTGCTTACGCATCTTTTCTGAATAATTGCATGTTACGATTAATGCGTAATTTCACTATATACCTTTATCGCTAGATAGAAACTCCTTTTTAAATGTGCAATATGCCGATCGTTTCCGCACATTTCCTGGCAAACGAATTTGACTGGATTCTTTTCTTGATCCTCTTTTAACAGCCATTCCCATCTTTTTTTTTATTATTTCCAATCCAGGTCTTCAAAAAAAATAATAAAACCCGTTACATCAATATGCGAGGTAACACCAACTGAATGTCTAGTTAAGCGATATGCAAATATGTCCACAATCTATTCTTCCGACAACGCATCCTAATAACACCGCGGAAAAACGTCTGCGCAAGCGTCAACCTTACTGAGATTTGCCTTGCGAACACGGTGTCAAGTATGCCAAAGATTGTCAAAAACTCAAAATGGAAGCGACTTCTATGTTTTGCCCTTTCTGTGAAAATACACTGTAATTACAGTCTACATGTGCAAGAAGTAGTATTATGCAAGAAAATGAACCAAAGGTGACTGTGATAGTTTGCTTAAATTTCGTGTCTTAAGTTCGGTATTCGACAATTTTCAAGAAATGTTCACACGCCTCCAGGTCTAAAACGATAATTTTTAATTTAAATTCTGTTTCTTTTTAGATTTTTAGTAAATGTTAGAAAAAAACTTTTAATAATGTCTGAACTACTCATCTAGTGCATTTTTTTTTTGTTTCACTTACCTTAAATAATTAAAAACAGCCATGTTTTTGTTTACAATTTGGCGTTTAAATTCCCCGCCATTTTTTAAGTACACGCGCATGAGCAGACGTTTTTCCGCGGTGTTCATCCTAATATGATGAATATGATGATGCGGCTATTAAACCGACACAGTATTACGCATGCGTACTGACAACAGTCAATATTCATTACTTTGTTTAGTAACGGAACATCACAATTCAAACGTCATAACCAAAAGATTGAAAATTTAATGTATACCCAATTCAATTTTACGACTGCAGCTACAGTAGCAACTGCGTTGTCGTTACAGTCGATCGACTTGCGAGGATGTTCCGTCGCGGCCAGACCGTCTGTCATGCGGGCTGTAATTCAAACGTTTATAGTGGGTTTGTAACACCTTCATGCATGCGTGTACACGAGGCTTATTTAATAACACGCACAGCTCGTACATACACTTACACGAAGCGTTGTTACAAAACTTTTCAGCCCCATTGTGTCACATTCCTTACCATTATTGTTTTTTCATCCAGACCAATTTGTTCAATAGCCTTTTCAATGAGATCTTTCCTCTTCCCTGTCGTCATTCCTTCATCCCACAACTGTTGTAAGGCTGCTTTCTCAGTTGAAGTCAAATTTTTTCGGGGCATGATTGAACTGCTTTGGTTATACTAAACCACCGTGGTTAAACATAAGATTTCATGATGCTCCAGGAAATGTAAACAAGCTATCAGTGTGACATCCCAGTTTATATATTTATATACTCGGAATATTGATTTCTCGGTACATACAAAATTATTTTAAAGTATAACAACCAGCGAAGACGTAAGGTACTAACTACCCTGCGCGGCTGCGCGCAGACTATATAACGACATATATATGTCATCCGCCCGGTCCGTCCGTCATTCAACCGTCCGTCCGTATCCGCGTTTTATCCTAACCCGTTTTTAAAACACAAAGTTTTTAAACACAGTGCGGTTCGTCATGATCAATATTTTCAAAAGCGGCCAATTAGACCAGGGGTTAAAGGGCAATGTCACTAATTTAATAAAATTTGCGTGTTTAATTAAAAGTGTTTATCAAAGAAAGCAAAAATATATACAAGACAATCTCACATGTGGAGTTTTTTCACTTACAGTACGTACTGCCTTGAGATGCAGTACAACTATAAATACAAATGACAAAGCATTTGTAAATCCTAAAACATAATTAAATCATACGGCACATTTAAGATTTTAATATCGTATTTCAGCCGCGTTTATACTGTTTGGCGCATTCGCTGCGTTATATTCATTTACATGTATATACACAGATCGGCATGTCATTGTCCTTGCAGACCATAGGCAAAAAGCATTTGTCAACCATGCACATACCAAATTTAAGCAATCGTTGAATCATATACATGTCATGGAAAGAATATGGAAATAATGTTAAATGAAAGCTAGCATCGCGTATAATATTAAAAGCACCGCATATAGTGCTCGAACCACTGCGTATAATTGCAAAAGCATCGCGTATATAAATGGTGAAAGCACCGCGTATAATACTGGAACCACCACGTATAATGGCGAAAGCACCGTGTATAATGCCAAAAGCACCGCCGTATAATGCTAAAAGCACCCAACAAAATGCCATTTGATCACTTTAAAGTGTATATGAAATGAAAATTTCGATATCAGGTTTTTTGCATTTTCTGAAAATATGGTCTTTTCCGATCATAAAAATACAAACCTTGTTGAAAAATTCGAACCAGAAGTTTGTTAATTTTACGATTAAAATTCGCTTTTTCGACTATCTACTGGCGAAATTCCTGACATTCCATCGCGCGGTCAGTGACGTATGCAGTATGACACAGTGCGACCTTTCGATATGTAAACACTATGAAAATTATAGCTTCGTCTGGGTAGAATTGGGTTTTTGAGAGATTTTGAAGAAAATTGAAACGAATCCAGTTTCTGTAGACTTCGCTTTCAATCTATAGATACAATATAATTACAACATGACGAATTGTAGCGTATAAGCGGCCGAAAATTAAAATTAAAATGCAAATTCGATGAGACAAGAGACTATATCTACGTTGTAGGTTTCAGACCGCATATTATGTAGATAGGCTTAGGCTATAGCTGATATTAATTATGGCAAACATTGTAGTAACTAGTGTAAGCATAACATGGAAATTAATACTAAATATCTACATTTACTGACATACCATAGCATGAGTATGGACCATTCCAAAACTAACAAATTTTGAATTGCATATATATATATATAGCATGGTAAAATACGATAGGGTATTAAAAAGGACTTTACTTAATATAGCTGCTTCTAATGATGGGCTCTACTTCAGTACTTCATTATATTCTTTCACTCACAACCGTTCGTTAAGTTCACATTGAGAATCTATTACATGTAGTTGCGTGTTTTTGTACACGAAATAGACCAGAATTTGAGCCTCTAGAAAACCTCGGCACGAAACGCGTGCATGTTTTGCGCGACAGGCTGATAGCGCGTCTACCGACGTGACGAAACTCACACCAGCACTCGCACGCAATCTTGTTTGCATCTGTACTATATCTACTGTAACCCTATAAAGCAGTGTAGTCAGTTTTTATGCATTTACTATGCATGCTGGAAGTGGTCTGCAATTCTCCCATCCCAGCATGCCAAATATCATCTGACTATCCAACGATATGTAATAAATAATCAAACAGTGAGTCGTTAATTTCATGTTTGCAAATACTACTAAAGAAGTTACTTATGTATGGTCGGAATATATATAAGATTTGCCTACCAAAACCCAAGGCTAAGTCAAGTCACTGTTATTACCCATTAGCTAGTATACTAATATAGCTATACATATAAAAAGATAAATTATAGACATACTGTATAACAAAGAATACAAGATATCGTTTAGAATACAAATATATACAAGAAATAGTGATATTTAATTATCTTGGGTTCTGCTTGTTGGTTTATGATACTTTTTCCCTGATTTTATATCAGAGAAAAGCCCCTGCGTCTCTAGTAGGCTATTGTTCGATAGGTGACGACTATTATCATATTACAACATATAGGCTAACATAACACTTACAGAACTAGTATGGTTCGGTGCTGAATTAATATAAACGAGTATGTTTATGACATTCAGTATATAGTTCATAATTTTCAGTCTTAATATAAATCCGTCTGACCGTGTAGCTCAGTTAGTAGAGCGTCGATCTAGTAATTCGAAGGTCGCGGGTTCAAGACCCAGCCGCGACAGACAATATCTTTCTGCTTGCGCAGTTGCGCTGGGTATGGAAATTATGAAATACACACTCTAGAACATTTTCAACTTTTCAAATTAGTGCATAATCCCAGTGCTGTGTGATGCATTCTGCGTCCTTGTCCTCGAACGTAAATTTGTCAATGCACTCCAAAATTTCCTTACAGCATCTATATTCTCTAGCGTCCTGCAATAATTCGTCGCTACAATGTCCACAGAGCACCTTAAAATAAACTCGCATATCAGACGAAACAGGGTAATAAATAGTCGAGGAACGGGTTAATATAATATTACTTTTATAACTTTACTTACCATGAATTAGCAGCTACCTTTTTCTTAAATCTCGCCTCAAGAGTATCATGAAGAATGCCGTCTTCGTCCGTTTGGTCTCCTCGTAGTCACTTATGCGACTAGCTCAAATTGATATGGCTGAACAACAGACGATTGCTCAGCGATGTCTTCATTATCTGTTGACCCTTCTGTCTCTGTCTGTGATTCAAAGCTTTCGTTATCGGACATTTTTATAGCGAAATATAAAGGCAACTGTCTGAAGTTCGTGTTATTCCGTTGTTTTCGTATAGTGAAACACTTCGGCGTGTCATACTGCATACGTCACAAGGCCCGGAACTCTAGGTACCAGTCTTTCGCCAGTAAATAGTCGAAAAAGTGAACTTTAATCGTAAAATTAACAAACTTCTGGTTCGAATTTTTCAACAAGGTTTGTATTTTTATGATCGGAAAAGACCAAATTTTCAGAAAATGCAAAAAACCCGATATCGAAATTTTCATTTCATATACACTTTAAGCCAGCTATGGCTTTCCATAAAAGAAGACCAAAGATGAAACATGATCACATTGCCTATTTGGCTTATGCCTGACCGCGCTGCACCACGGTTAAAATTCACTGGTACCGTCATGCAATGCGGTATAGCATGGATAGTATAGAAAGTCTTTTAAATTTAATGATTGGTCTACGTAATTGATAGTTCATACGTGCGTTGGTTGCTATAAGGTTAGTTTTTTGCTTCCAAGTAATAGAGAAAGTTTAAGATTTTTATCACATGTAAGTTTTCCAAAGACAAAGAGTTTCTCGTATACGAGTCTTCCTTTCCTTTGAATAAGGTACTACATCCAGATTGAAACTGGCTTTATTTTTCTTCGGAACACGATCTCTTTCTTTTCTTTGAGCATGTCCCTATCAATGATGCTTCGTCGGTTTTTAAGGTTACAGGACACCCTTTTTGGCGTTTTGCGGAAAATCGCTACTGCGCGCTCAATATCAGTCCGATTTTCATCAAATTTTCACCAAATGTTCTCCAGTGCATGCAAAATATGATAAAGTTGTAAAATTAACAAACAATAAAATAATGTAAGAATTATTCAGGAAAACCTTAAGTCGCGGTACCTTTACGCTTTTGAGTTGTGCTCCTGCTGGTTTTAAGTTATATTTATGAAAATATCATTTTTATACAGTAAAATAGTTGTTGTAAAAAATTGTGTTCGGAAATTTTTGTTTATTACGTCATTCCGCTGATATGGCGATTTCTTTGACGACTGCAATATATTTCTGAATTGTTTGAGTGAATTGCTCTTTATTATTAAAATATCCAAAATTAGAACAAAGCCGAACACAATTTTGAAACTGACGTCTTTAGCTATGTCCTGTGAAAATTTGAGAAAAATTGGTTAAAACTCGCAGGAGCACAACTCGTTTGAAAATCAGTAATTACCGTAAAATTTTTCGGGAGAAAATTGAATTTGAATATTACATTTTCAATGTTTTTCTTATTGCAGCGAAATGTATTTTATTAATTAACTCTGCGAGTTTTCAACATTTTTCGTTCAAACTTGGTCAGATAGTAGAACTAGTCTAATGCTTTCATGGAAAACCAATAAAAAAAAATATAGGCAAAATTAACACGCAAAGGTGTTCTGTAACCTTAACGGCATGCAAATCGTATATTAGTTTTGAGCGCCTCATAGACGTACCGTAAAAAATCTCACACAATACAAAATTAACAAAGACTACAAGTGCTATATCATGTTGTTGTATGCATACTTAAAAATAAGGAAATTAGAAAAGATTATGCAAAATTATGGCAGGATTACGCCAGCAGAACTACCCTACAGCAACATCAAAATCTTAGAAAGACTAAACACTATAGTAATACAAGTCAGTATAATTTTTTTTTCACTTGTAATAAAGGCCCCATCTCATGCGACATCCGCCGCCTCTGTTGTCGGTATCATCTCTGTAGTAAGGAGTCCAGTTGTTCGCTTTGGCACAAAGCTTGCGAGCAGCACCACCGCCACACTGTCCACCATCACCATCTGGATACCATTCGTAACACAACTGGATATTCCTCGCCCACCAATTATGCACAGGTGGTAGTTTGAGCTGCCAAGACATTCTACACCCACCGCCGCGGTTATCGGTATCGTCCCGGTAGACCGGCGTGTATTTACCCACCGGGGCACACAGCAAGCGTGCCGCCCCACCGCCACACTGACCGCCGTTACCATCCGGGTACCATCGGTAGCATATTTGCACGTTCTTGAACCACTGTGGGCTGTAAGGTGATTGGATGGACCAGCTCATGCGACAACCGCCTCCTCTGTTGTCCGTGTCGTCTCGGTAATATCGGGTGGCCGCGTTGACGTTCGCGCAAAGATGTCTGGGTTCGCCCGCACCACACTGACCTCCATCGCCGTCCGGGTACCACTGGTAACAGAGTTTGGTGTGGGCCAAGAACCAGACTGGAACCTTGTTTGCCTTACAGTCGTAGCCACCAGAATCACATGAATATATGGTTGACTTGCACGAGTGTTTACAACAGTCGCCTCCGTCGAATTTGTGTGCAGCTTTGTTGCAAGCGTGGTCACACCACCCGTCACCAATGCTCGAAGCAACAAACTAAATAACGAAAGAAATATAACGTTATAAATACGAATGATTGCCGCAGCCGGTCGCTTACCAGGGACGGCTTGAAATAATAGCCGGTCATCTATCAATAATCGGCAAGAAATTGTTTGCCGAGGATGGCATGGCTCTCATTTATATTTGCAAAAAATGTTTAACAAGTTTTAGTATAATTACATAGGTGATTATTGAAAATTCTCCACGCTGATTGGTTGCCGACTTGCCGTTGAGGTGATTATTACGCGATAATCACCTAAGCGATTTTCAAAATGACGGCCGAAGCTGTTTTGTCAATTAAATGACGAAGAAATGTGCATTTAAAATTTTTTTCCCAAATAACCACCTATGAAATTATATACTAAAACAATTATTCACCTCAGGCTCGGTGATTGTCGTGAATAAAAACCTCGACTTCGTCTCGGTTTTTATTCACCGATAATCACCTCGCCTTCGGCGAATAATTGTTAAATATTAAGGTTAGGGATTAGGGTTGGAGTTAGGGTTAAGGGGTTAGGGTTAGGTGCTGCGAATTTATCATATTGATAAATTCGGACGGGTTTAACAATTTACTCGTACAGTAAGGGACCGTTCATTATTTGGACCTTGGGTTGGTACCGAAGGGAAGCGAAAAACACTGTAAATTTTTTATTTACCCAACCTCAACATTGGTCAAAATATAAATGTTTACCCAACCTATGTGATACTGTATACTTCATAATAAGTAAACACACAAGATTATGGTGACAGAAATCAAGTTGCCTAAATTCTCAAAGCTCACTCACATTCAAACTCACTGAGTGTGTCAAAGCAATCACGTTCCTGCTGATCAATGATAGAGTCCTTCCTCAATCACAGATGGTCTATTTTGGTACAGGATGTATTGTACACATTTTTCTTCATATTTTCCAATGCATGGTAATTTTGGTTTTATTTTATGGACCTTATGGACAGACAGCCATAAATTTTTTTACCCAACCCATGAGGTAGTCAAAAACTTGATTGCCCAACCCATATCTCTTCGGTACGTTGCCCGAGTATAAATAATGAACGGTCCGTAAATTCAAAGGTGGAGTTCGATCATGCTGATATAAACACCTCCTGCATGGCATATCTATATAATAAGGCGGATATTTGCATACCTAAAGGTCCTTCATTACCAGTTTCAGCACTCTAGTAAAAAAGAAAGCAATGTGAGGGCGTACAGTGATATACTAAATTAGATATCACTTTACTCTATAACTTTTCAATAGTCTATCCGGTTTCTTCCAACAAACCAAATTAGTTTGTAATGTAACTTAATTTCGCATAAATATGTCTTCAATGGACAACTTGCATGTTAGACTAAATTTTAATCTAAGTATTAAAAGAGAAGGGAATCAAACACAACAGTTAAAAAGAACATAATGAAATTAGTAAAATTGCAAAATTTGGTTGCGAAATGTTGTAAAATACAGAAAATATAGCCTTGCGAAGTTTGCATATTTTCAGTATATTTGAATTATACGTGCGGAAAAAACAAACACTGCATGAGCGACTGCAATTTCAAAACTTTCTAACAGTAAAATAAAACTATTGAGACTATTAAGTAGAGGTTTAGGTGGTGTTCTTCCATTTTAACCGTGAAATTCAGTTTTTATACTGCATTGCAATGTGGTTTATCAGAAATTATTATTTGTATTAATATTAAATACCAGCTTTTTGCACATGCATAAGGCCACGCGAGACCATAAAGACGAGACACTTTTTGTAAAAACAGGCCTGCTGTCAAGATAAATGGTCTAATATGCTTAATATAGCACGAACCTTTATATACAACACTGTATACGACAACAACGGAATAAAATACTTACCTCTGGCTTTGAAGCGACAGCACCAGATAAAAGAGTGTAAGTAAGGGTCAGCGTTAACAACAAATATACACGCATGTTTGGAGAGATGTTGAAGCGACTACGACCTCTTTGACTCTGAGCAGAAGTCAGGGTTAAATTGCTGTTTATACCTTCGCGTCGTAATCAATGTGTAAAACAAACAAAAAACAAAGGATATTCTGTCAGGATGTACGTATGATGACGTATCTGACACAGTGAAGCGCGTCCTAATATCGTAACCATGCATGCAGATGGTCATTTATATATACAGTATATTGTAAATTATTCTTTGCAACTTGCTTTTTTTGTGTGAAATTCTCGTCTTAAAGCAAGCCCATGCAGTAGCGAAGTGTTTTTGGGAAGGCCAATAATATCAAGACTTCTGTAGACAAACCACAGACAATCCAGAGGATATCTACTGGATTGTTCGTGTAACGGCGCACGCATGACTATACGCATATGTATCTCACAACGATTGATTGGATATTCGACCAATGCATTTGACTGAGGATCTATACATGCCTCGAGATGCCTCGAAGATGATGAAAACTAGCTAGATTTCAGCACCGTCTCGGGCGTCCCAACTTGACCAACATTATGAACATTATTTTTTGTGACTAAATGCACCGGGGGAAGTTAGTGGTAATTAGCACTTACAAAGATGAGAGTTAATTTAAAGAGGTAATTAAAACAGGAAAACGATGTCACGCTGATCAGTTATTAGTTTCCCCTCGCCCTTGTGAAATCAGAATTCCCTTCAGAAATCTTAAACCTTGAGCGCACAAATTATGTGAGTCAGATTGCTAACTTGGAGCCTAAATAGTGAACCAATAGCCCTACATCGAAGTGTTCATTAAATATGTCCTAGCATTGTTTTGCAAAGCAAATTTGCCGAGGAAGTTACCCATCATCCCTTGCGCGCTCAGTGTTTAAGGTTTAAGATTTTTGAAGGACAACGTATTTTGAATTGGCTGTATATGTATACATATAACCCTTTTACCTCAAGAGGTTGCCACACAGCTTGTTTCATCCAAGAGGAATCGTAAAAATCTTCAAAAATCTTTAACCTTAAACATTGAGCTCGCAAGGGACGATGGGTAACTACTTATTTAGCGTCTTGAACTGTGTGAGATTTGTCATAATTTTCAGAGAGAGCGCACTTACACCGCGTCGCGCTTCATGGCGTTTCCGAGAGCATCACATCACATGCTTGAAACATCCACTTCAGCAAAATTTGACAAAACACAAAATGTGTTAGGCTGCACGTATCCAGTGGCTAGGCGATATTGGGATAAGAGCGAGCTTCTATTGTATTCAATCCACTAGTTAAATGACACACTCACTTAAGCAAATTTGCATTTTTCCGACCGAACGAGGTTGAAAGATCTAGAGGATAACAGAACATCGATATCGATCAGTATCTTTGTAAATGCAAAATGTTCAAGGAAAGGACAGAAATTTGGTCAGATGCAAGTTGCCCAGCGTCTGGCAGTAACCTGTCCAAATTTTTAGCCGCTGTCTTGGTGTGTGTTCTAATCTTACTATCAAGGGGGGCGGGGGGGGAGGGTGAACAGGGGTATACAAATTCGCCGACCGCCCAAATTTGAACCAAAATCCGCCCATCCGACAATGGTCTAAATTTCATTTTGAATCCGATAAAAGCTTTACTATGAAGTCACAAACGAGGATCCGAACTAAATTGCAAGCAAAATCCACAATCCTCACCAAAATATTAGTGAATTTAAAAATAGTCAGCCCAATAACTAATTAACTATCATGTTAAATAATTCAACTAAAATATTCAAACTTTTAGTAGAACTGTTAAACATGGGGAAAATATAAAAAAAATGTTCAGATAACAATGCATTTCTCTTGTTCTCGTCTGCTGCTACAAGCGACGTAACTAGTTGATCATAGTTTCACAGTGGTCTGCAAACGATATGGTTCTAGTAGCTATATATTTTTACCGCCACATTAATGGCCCACTTTCATATTTATTGCATTTTGTTTCAAAATTTCGATTACACGAGAACCGAGAAAGCCGTATTTTCCCCATATAATTGACCGAGTACCAGCCTCGTCCCTAACCAGTATGTGCGTGGGGTTTACCCCTCAGTCTCCCGCCACGTGTGACCTTCTCACGTGTTTCTCCCGCGCCAGGAACGAGGCTGTCCGAGTACTAGTTGTCCCGGCAAAGCTGGCTGAAAAATTACACACGCACTGATCTAATTGTATAATTTATAGTTTATATAACTAAAGGATAGGAAATGTTTCAGCTGAGAGTATAATTTACACCGCAGTCGCTTTTGGCTCCATTCCAACATCAAAACAATGCTTCGTACGTTGTCACAAACATTACCAAGATGAGCACTATATATATCCTGGATTTATGCCCCAAGTATTGAACTGCCTTGTCTGGCAAAGATCGACCTTAAGTCCCTGTTTATGCCATTTCCCTTGAGCAATAGCTTGACATATTTTACACCAATGATGGAATTTTCTATCCCAATATTTTCCAATAATTGTTTCACTTATATCCCCGAGACCTTTTCGCTTCCATTCTAAATGTTTATTATACTCCGTTTCGTTATTCATCAAAACCTTTAGACGCTTGGCTAGTTCTCGGGGATTTTTGAAATCCCTTACGTTAATGATAGCGTTTTTAAGATTTCCTGGTAAAAACTCATAAATCTTGTTTGTACTCATGACGATTGGCACAGAGCCAGCGTTCAGCGCATGTAGAATTTGATCATCGACAAAATAGTCACAATCTTGGTTGAAAAATGTTATAGCAAATTTGTATGTCTTTTGTAACTTCGATTTCATATTTTTAAAATCGGATTTATAACGCTGGACGAGTCCTGCCTTATTGTGTAAACATGCACCGTAAGAATCTACCGGGATATATCTCATTAATTGTCTGAGGTACTCGGTCCTCACCGGTTCGCAGTTACTAAATGCGGCGATAATCCTACCGGTTTTGTTTTTAAATGGTACAGGAGGGTTCAAATTTGGTTTCTTGAACAGAGGAGTAGGGAAGTCGGAATCTAATCTGTAACTTCGTAGTAAATGAAATTGAGACATGTACTCCGTTTTTTTAAAACAGGAGTATAAACGGGGTTCTCTAAAGTGGTTAGGATCCAAGGGATGTCTTTGTTTGGCGGTAGAGGATACGGGTCCCGAGCGTGGACGATGAATGCGTGAGCTTGTTTGATTCGATCACGATTAGATGTCACCTCGCAAGCAACTGGACACTGACCTTTGCCAGTGCCTTTTCCAAAAAACCTTCGCTTTTTCTCGCCGGGAAACCCCATAACTTGGACCAGAATAAGAGGAGGATTTTGTCGTCTGCCGTATACGGTACAACGGGTTAGGTTTGATGAGGTGTCGGAGAAGAAAAGGCTGAGAAGCAACAGTGTAATGCCGATGATGGTTGAAAAAGCGACGAACAAGAAAATTGGTAGCGGTAGTTTTTTTGCGTGTTGTTTCACCAGCATTTTGTTGTAATGGACCATATACATTGGATGTGGTACTTGAAGCTGGGGAATACGATCTGTCAATTGTCAGCAAAGAAAATCCAAGTATACGCTATATATGAACACAGTATAACTTAGTGGCTGTTTATATATATGATCCCGCTTTGCCAGGACGAGATGTGAGGCGGGACGATTTCGATGTATTGAAAAAAGTCATGCTGCCGCACAATTCAGCAAAAAACTTCATTATTTTCGAGAAATAGATTATACCAGTTTGTTTAAGATTGTTTAAGCAGCAGTAATAATCTTCTTGAACTACAAGATCTCTACAATATTTGAGTTCTGTTAACCAGCATTTGAACTTTCGTTTCGCCTAGTGACTTGTTTCAATACATCAAAATCCTTCCATCATGTAAACAGCCCCTTAGTTAACAATAGTGGCAATGCGCCCTGATGCGTCTTGCTTTATTATTTTACTCTGTCTAACGCCAGACGATTTTTTCTTTAAGGGAAGAGTGCTTTCACTCAATGATGGGTTAAGACTAAGACGGAAGTCAGAACCTTTGATATCAATGGTCAGATCTGACAGGATCTATTTTCTTCCCGCGAAAGCCCGTTCGATAATAGAAACAAAAAATGGCAATACATAATAGCCACCGAATTTATATTATTTAAATGCAGGCAGCCCGGTACAATATAATATAATAAGTTTTTAAAATATTTCGATAGTTTTAAAGTAAAGTAAAGCTAAGTTCGGAATATTTAATTTAGGCACGCCTAGCTATATTGTGCGCGCTGCCTATATATGATTTGAATTAGGACATAATTAATCGTTTTATTTGCAAATGTCTAATCTTGTTTCATGCATGAACTATGAGTTGATGTTTTGGAATTGTTCTGCAACAGCCAACAGGTCACGAACATAACTAGCTCACTGCATGAGCTGTTTTTCTGTTTGTGTTTTCCTATATAGTATAATAGCGTTCCTTATATTAAAATGAAAAAAGTTAATTAAATTCACTTTACCTTTAAATACGTTTTCTCACTTTTTCGTCATGTTGTTCATAATGTATTTCAGATAGCAAAATTGGCAATTGAAAGTTCAATTAAAACAAAGAAATAAACAGGTAAATGTTTCACAAGTCAGAAATAAATGGTTGTTAAAGCGATAATATATTCTGGTGGTCGTAAACAAATTTAACAAACGGCGCGTTTTACATTCATAGGGAAACGTGCATGTTAATTCGCCATATCCAGTTTTTTTTTCGCGGTTCGTCTTTGTGGGCAAGTCTACTGAGTCACAATAGACAATTCCCATTATAGACTAATTTTAAAACTAGGCAAGGACTGATGCAAATAAATAATCTCAGCTAGAACGAGCGTACTAAAATTACGGTAAAATTACAAAGTTTGGTTTTCGAAATGTTGTAAAATGCGGAAAAATATAGGCTTGCAAAGTTCGCAAATTTTGTATACTTTTGTATTGCGTTGCGGAAATTGCTACCACATTTGGGCCAAGAATGGTAGCAATTTCCGCATGCAATAAAAAAGTATACAAAATTTGCATGCCAGCTTTTCAGTGGACAAGTATAATTTGTTCGTTTGTACGATTGCAAAAGAAAACTTGTGTAGAAAAATACTTCTATGGTTTTGGCGGCAAACAAAAGGTGGCCTTGACGCGGGATAAATGTTAAATTAACGACAATCCGCGCACAACAATACTTGTTTCAAACATTAAAGTTTCACATTATAAAAATGATAGTGTTTTTATCTGCGATTGTTCATTCGTGGACGCAAACGA